TAAGACAGGATCTACCGTTGCGAAAGCCGTGTTGGCCATCGGAAAGGACGTGGTTCTGCTTGAGGAGCTGCATCAGCACTCTCTTTATGATTCTTTCCATGGTTTTGCAACAAATAAAGGTAAGATCAACCAGCCTGTAATCCTTCGCAGACGCTCGGCTTCCATTCTTGAAAAGCGAGAGATCGTTGTGGACTTCCAATCGGAGGGTAGGCACCCAGTAGTAACTGACGCATGGAATAGTTGAAAAGTTTGAGCACAGTTGCATATTCCAAAGGGCATCCTGAAAAACTCGAACAGAGCAAACGGTGTTGTAATCGCCGCTTTTGGAATGCTATACAGAGCAACGCGTATCTGATGGCAAGTTTTGACTAATTCATTGCTGGAAAAAATTAGTGCTCCAGCTAGGCTAGATGAAAAAAGGTAAAGATGGGGAAGTGGATATCTGTCGGGCACAGTACAGGTGTTCAATTGTCGGTAATTCTCACATGGGCGCCAGTCAACGAGATACTTAGACTAGACTAGTGGAAGACCTAGCTATGCCTAGCTCCATCACATGACTGGACTCAGCCCTTGAGATAGCTATCTTATTAGCGGCTAAATGACGAGGACGACTAAAAACGGGTGGTCCGGTATTTAAATGTAGCGCACGATGGAGTGCTCAATAGGTTAGTAAAATTGTAAGGGCGTGTGATAGAAGAAAATTCCAAAAGTAAACGAGGACAGGAAGTACACGAAGGGATTGCTGAAATGCGTGGATTAGGGGATGAAAGGGTAGGAGTAGAAAACTTTCAGTATAAAAATGTCTTAGGGTCAAGTATTTTATGGGACTTGATGTCAACGAGAAGACCGAAAAATGATAGAAAATCAGCGCCATGAATAGCGGTATGAACGTCAGCGATGGTAAATATCCAAAGAAATGAACGTTGCAGACCCAAATCTAGAGTGAGAGATCGTTGACCAAAAGTGTTAATATGAGTGCAATTAGCTGCTTGAAGCGAAAAAGAATAATTAGCGGACTTAGGATAGGTCAAATATGGTGAAATTAAACTGAGATCGCTTCTCGAGTCGAGAAGAAAATTACGAAAAGAACTCCTGTCATAAGTGTGGAGTAGGCGACTGGGATAATATTAAATTATATTGTACAAAAAGTATATTTATACCGGATTTAGATTTTATAAGATCTGCTTTTACCTAAAAATTCACGATAATATATGACAAGTTTTCAGTTACAACCTAAACACTTGATGCAGTAAAAAATGCAAATTGCAAAAGGCTTCACAATTTAGCAAAAAATGATTTGAAAACTGAAAGTGTTTCTTGTTTCTCAAAATAAATGCGTCTTTTAACGGCTTCACCTGCATCTGAACCGTTTTGGACGATATTTTATGGTTTTGGAAGGAATATATTTTACACTTTTTTTTACTTATTTTGGAGTTCTCCCATAGCATACTGCATATTAATAAAAAGTTCGGTTCTGTCATACTTAATAGTATAGGAAGTTCCTTCGATATGAGACGACTCCCAATTTCGTCAAAATTCATGTCCATTACCTGTAATAAATTTAATTAAAAGGCAGTTTTACTTACTTAAATGCTTCCTCTGATTTAAATCCACTCATAAGATCAACATAACATAATCAAATTTTTTCATGCTTTTGCATGCAACATGCGAGTGCTTATCAACAGATATCTAGCCCTGAACGTCCAAACCGTTACCACTAATACGACCCCAACCGTTATGTGCGAACTTCACGGATGTGCCTTAACCCATGCCCGAACATAATCTTTCGTAAAATGACATTTTGATAAAGTTCATAAGTAAAATATGTAGAAAGGCTTGTTTCCGTTAACGAATTAAGCGCGGCATGAACGGTAGACCTCTCACTGCGTAGTTACATTAATTTCATTATGCAGGCTGTTTTGAATCCAAATAAGCTGACATTTTTAATCATTCGTTTGTCCTGTCTGTTATCGCTAAATGAAACAAATGGTACTAAGTTTCATAGTAGAAAACCCATCAGATTAATAATAAGTCCCTTCGATAATTTACGATTTGAACTTTTATCAATGCACACCAAAAGTATGTACTTTGGAAGCCGACTTGACAACCTACCACAATGCGTCAATCACGAAGAATGTACAGCAACAATTAATCATGGCATTTTTTCCAAAAAAACGTTAAGTTAAGTTCAGACTTCAAAGGTGAGAAAAAAAAATAGTGGCACGTGGTATGCGTTAGCTGGAATCTAATCCTTTATTCGTCCTAGTTCAGACCTCAATGGGCGCATAACGGTGTTATTTATCTCTATACCTAATTAATATGGCCATCGTTATTCTATTCTGATTGGTCGAATTGTTATCCACTTAAAATTGTCTAAACTCTAGAAAATGCAGATTGTTGGGCGGTATTTCAAGTCATCCATTTATACAATTCGTTTGCAGCAAACCGGTTTATTTCAGTTAAGTTTGGAACATACCAAAAAAAAATGGCTACGAATGCATCCGCAAACTCAAATGCTTCTTGTTTGCAGACAGAGACTTGGCTGGGAGGACCAACCAACGGAGATTTTCTCAGTTACAACCGATTCATGTTCCTCTCAGTCATCGGCATTCCCATCTGTGCGGTCGGCGTCGTCACCAGTGCTCTCAGCATCTGTTTATTTTGTCGGAACACTGCTACCCCGCGAACAACTCGTAAGCTCCTTATCGCCACTTCACTGGCTGATGTACATTTCCTTATTTTCTC